ATGAATTTTAATTAATTTGATTTTTTTTAATATTAAAATAATGTTAAGATATTTATGATATTCAAATTGGAAAATATTCTAATGAAAATTTGATTATAAATTTTAAATTCATTAAAATTATTTTAAAATTAGTATCATATAAAATTTGATTAATTATATATATTATAGTTTTTTCAAAGAAATTTAATAATTTTAAAATTCATATTAATTGATTTAGTCATACTTTTAAGAAATTATAAGTATAGCACTACATTTTATTAATTATAAAATAAATTAAATATTATTAACATTTTAACCCAAAAAACAAATTAAAAGTTTTTTCATCAAAATAATGTTATTTGATTTGAAAAATTCAACTAAAAAATATTTGTTCACCTCTTATTATTATCGACATTGGCGTTTTGTTGAAGTCGCAGTGGCGACCTAATGGAACCTGCAGACTTTGTCAAACCGCCGTGGACTCCACCCCTGCCGCCGGCGAGCAGGGTGCTGTCGACAGTGTCGACCGCTTTGCACGTGAGAAAGTTACGGAACACGTGCGACGGCTTTCGTGGATAGCTCTGCCGGCCGGCGTCTCCCGCCGGTGATATTTTCCTTTGTTCCATCTCCTCCACTTCCTCATCCGGCAACAAGCCGTCTTCCACATACGGTTGCTCATTTTTCGGCAAGGTCTTTATTTCTGCGATCGATTAGGGGAGAAACTGGGAGTGAAAATTTATTATTTGTCTTGTGTAAATGAAATGAAATAAAGTTTAAATAAATTATGAATTAAGTTTCAACCATTTTTTACATTATCTTTCAGACAAAATCTGATCTTCCAAAAATAATAGCACTAGGGTTTAGGGGGCCTAGGTTACCGGGAGAGGGGAAGGGACCTGATTTAGATTCAGCGCCAGGGAGAAGAGACCCCAACAGAACATACTCCGAATCGGATATCGTAGTGAGGAGATCGTCATCCTTCAAATCCTGCCATACCAATGCCTTCTTATATCGCCTGTAATCGATCAAATAGTTCAATTAGCCTGTTCAGTCTCAAAGTGAAATCAATGAGAGATAGAGAGAGATTACCTCTGATAGGACCAAGCGAATGAGTCCGGCATCTCTTTTCCCCTCAATTCCGACAGCCATCTCTTGACATCTGAAGTTCTGGTTACAATTAGCCATGGAAGGCGTTCTAGAGCAGTGGATGGATCGCATAGAAAGAGAGAAAGAAAAGGGGGGATGGGAAGATTGGATTTTTACCGCGAAGGTGGATGCCGGAGTGGCAGACATGGTGGACGCGTATTAGATGAGGGTGTTCGATCTGGCCGTCGCGATTTAGGAAGTAAATGATGTTGGCTCGTCTTGCCTCTGTGCTCCTCTCGGAAAACTCCATTACTCGCTCCCTCTGCCTTCTCTTCCTCTGGTCTTGGCTTCTCTTCTCTTCGCTTCATAATTTCTTTTGGTCTATTGTCTTATAAAATTTGATTGGTTGTTATTATTGTTCTTATTATTTTTTTTGGAGGTTTACATACATACCACATTATTTTATGGCATTTACATATATAATACCCAAAATATTTATATTACATGCATACCAACTATAGAACAAATTTGGGTGCATAGAATGAAATATTAAAGTTTATAAGATGCTATTAATGAAAGAAATGAATTATAGGAGTGATTTATTTGATATTAAACTTGTATATGGATGGTAGACATATAATATTAATATTTTGGATGTTAGATATGTAAATAGCATGAAATAAAGTGGTATGCATGTAAATTTTCATATTTTGTTTTTATGTTTACCTCGCCTCTGCAGCCATACATATAGCTATGTGAGTTTAGTGCATGTGAGTTCAATTAGGGCTGTCAAAATCGATTTCGGGTTGGATTTGGGTCGAACCCGAATTTGATTTGACACTTTTTAATTTGATCCGAACCCAACCCGTTTTTGCAAACAGGTTGGTTTTTCGGATCCGAACCCGACCCACTTTAGGTCTGAGTCAATTAAAACCCAACCCGCTTTTTTATATTTTACTAAAATATTTTAATTTAATTTAATTTATTTAAACATAAATCGAATTAAGGTTAGATTTACTTCAATCAATTTAAAATAAATCAAGCTTAATTCAATTTGAGTAACATGATTTATTATTTTTTTGAAAATAATATTTACTTATTTCATAACAATCTTCTAAACCTTCTTAAATCAATTAAAAACATGTCAAACCGGGTTGATTTCGAATTTTCGGGTCAACCAGAACTCGACTCGATTTGACAAACGGCTCTAGATCTCTAACCCGAATCCGACCTGAATTCTTGTTTTCAAGTCGTGTCAAATATTGACACCTATAAGTTCAACCCTCTCATGATTATAAGCTATTAAGCTATTGAAATAAATAAACTAAAGATGTATGGATATTTGAACTCCTTTTAGAATTTTTAATAGATATGAAATTGATAATTATTGATAATAAATAATCCAACAAATGTACATATGATCTAATAACTTAGGCTATGTTTGGACCATTTTTCTTATTGTTTTTTTTATAATAATTTTTTTTTACAAAAATTCTTCTTTATCGTATAACAAGCTCTGTTTGTTAACTTTGAAATTGATAATTATTGATAATAAATAATCCAACAAATGTACATATGATCTAATAACTTAGGCTATGTTTGGACCATTTTTCTTATTGTTTTTTTTATAATATTTTTTTAAATAAATTTTTTTACTAAAATTCTTCTTTATCGATCATAAATAAACACAATACAATAGTGAGGAAGCTTATATTCTCCCTAATCCCACTATATTTAGACAGTTGGCATAGAGCCTAAATCATTTGATTATTACTTGACCTAATATTTGTTCTGTACTTTAGCAAGTATATCACTTATGGGCTGTTTGGTTGTCTAAATTAAGAGTGTAAAGTAAAATAATTACATGTATTTATTAAATTTGATTGTTTGGTCAATTTTGAGTGGAACAAAAGGAAATCATCGGATGAATTATGAGTGTATTACAGGGGTTGTTTTGCGGGAATTAGAAACCCGCTCAATACGAGCGGGTTATAAATTCATCGGAAGAAAACTTCATCAGTCGTGCTGTTCGGCTTCAGTGCACGAGAGGCTTCTTCGGCTCCTTTGTTCTTGTTCGATTTCGCTCCGGCAAGCAGCTCCAGAGAGACTGATCGGGAGGCAGAGTATCTGATTGACCAAATATTTCTTAATGTAAAATCCCTGTTGTTTATTTAATTATTCAATATTTTTTAGGGTCTTTGAGCCATGATTTGTTCTTTGCAATCAGATAATCTCTTTATTTGTGGTATATTTTTATTTTTTTTTTATTTTTTTAATCTTTATTTGTGGTATATAGGGATGCGAATTGGGCCGAATGTCCTAATAAAAGACGATCGATCAAAGGCTCTATTTGATCCCATAAAAGAGTAAAACTGAGCCTTCCTTCACAAATTCTATAGAGAGAGAATATCGTATAACAAGCTCTGTTCGTTAACTTATTTCATTATTTGCATTGATGAGCTTTGTGAGCTTTGTGTTGGATTGAAGCGATGAGAGAGGAAAAAATAGTCAGCATCATATGGTGAATGGCTCTAACTTACTTATCATTGATTTTTTTTTCTTTGAAAATATTTAGGTCAATTAAGTCATATTCATATCAGATATTAGGGGGTATCAATATTTGACTTGACCTGAAACCCTGATCCGAACCCGACTCAAAAATTTCGGGTATGGATCTAGGTTAACGATTTCGACCCGTTTGTAAAACCTGGTCGGGTTCAAGCTTGGCAACCCGAAATCAACCCGATTTGACACATTTTTATTTGATTTAGGAGGATTTTAGAAGATAGTTATGAAATAAGTAAATGAATTTTTCAAAAAATAATAAATAATGTTGCCCAAACTGAATTAAGCTTAGTTTATTTTAAATTAATTGAAGTAAATCTTACATTAATTCAATTTAGGTTTAAATAAATTGAATTAAATAAAAATATTTTAATAAAGCATACCCGAAGCGGGTCGTTTGCGGGTTGACCAAGACCCATAGCGGGTCTGGTTCGAGTCCGAATAATTAACTCGTTTGCAAAAACTGATTGGGTTCGGGTCGGGTAAAATGTGCTGGGTCAGATTCGGGTTTGACCCGAACCCGACCAGAAAACCAGTTTTGACAACCCTATCAAATACGTAAACTTCGAACTTGAGACCTCTTCGTTGATAGCCAAAATTCTCAACCAACAGATCAAAATGATCAGCTGCTTTACTTGCGGATGATGCGCTTTGGCCTTTGGGTAGGTCAAAGTCATATGATCACAGAAGAAAAATAAATAGTGAACATCACATAATTTAATCTGTGGTGTTTCAAAAAAGCTCAACTCGATGCCTCAATTAAAATTTAAAAAATGAAATTAAAGCTTAATCCACCATCTTATATGAACCTAAATATTATCCCTACTCAGCACAAAGTGCCCTAAGGTATGATTTTGGGTTAATAGTTTATTTATTAATTATTTTATCTTTTTCATTATCAAGCTAAGATTTTCACTAATTTAACTTAAGTCAACAATTAGAGCACTTAAGATAAAATAATCGCATTATTAGAGATCATATAACAAATTAGAGATAAAAAATAATAATAATTTAACACTTAGACTTCGTTTGGTTTTTTAGAACTTTTATAAAAAAACAGCTTTAAGAAATATTGGTTCAGAAAATGGAGTTTTCTAACGAAAAAGTATATATAAAAAACTTTCTCGAAACAACAAAAAAAAGAAACAAATTGAGTTATCGGAACTTGATTTGACGAACCAAATAGTAAAGAAGAAATGAATTTGTCGTTTTAAAATGGAATAAGCACCAAAACTTCCAATCAAACGAAGCCTTAAGTGGTGCTTAAGTGCGTTTAAACACTAACCAAATAATTAAATGGCCGAGAGATCATATGCGTTTCAACTCTCAAAGACCAAAAAAAGAAAATAAATTACGTTTTTTGAACTTCCTTTATTTCACTATTATAAATAAAACTTATGTTTTGTTTGAAATTTTTTTTTATTGCTTCTTAAAACGGAGTTTTAATTAAAAAATTAAAATTTAAAAAGCTGTTTCAAACAAAACCTAAGTTTTTAGTTATCTTATGATCTATTTTGGATAGCTTTTTTGCAGCTTTGCATTTCAAGTTGTAGCTACAAATTCGTTTGGCTATTATTCTCTTATAGTTTTCTCTTATGAAATTTTTCAATAATATGAAGCTTTTTTTTTTACTATCAAAATTGTTAATATATGGTGACTTTAAGAAGATTGTTGTTCGATTTTTTTTTTAAATATAATTTTAATATCTATGTCAGTTTTTAATAAAATTATTTTTCTCACAACAAAACTTTGTAATAACCCCTACAAAATGCTACATTCGTCCTAAATAGACCCTTAATGTATCGATATTCTAAACCGAACATATAAGAACGTTAGGGGATTCGTCTTATCCCTTAATTGAAAATTATTTGATTTTCCTATCCTTTAAACCCGACATTTGGAAGAAATATAAGAAAGAAGGGATCTAAAAGACAAAATAGAGACAATTAAATAAATTAATGGCCCTTTTTTTTGTATTTTTCCCTTCAACCACTTCTCCCTCAAACCATCAGTCTATGTTCAAATTTGAAGAATTTTAAGGCAAGAAAATATACAAATGTTTGAAGTATTCAAAGTCAATTGTAGTAGATTCATAATAAGACAACAAATTATATTTATTTGGACAAAATTTATGAGATGATAAAGACACCGAAGACCTTTTAAGCAACCAATAATACTAACTAAAACTTTATAAGATAATAAAAAAATGGTCTCAAACAAGCTTTCATCAAATGCTAAGAAATGAAGAGAAGTTTGTAATGAACTCTCCTTTCTCACTTACACTTGCAACAGTAAGCGTATATATATAGTGAAAACAGCAAAAGTTTGCCGAACAAACCCTTCTTCCAATTGTGAGAATAAGAGAAGGTTAACAAACTTTAAAAAACACACATACACAATATTATAATAGCGGTTTAAACCACTACAAAACAAGCGCAAGCCTATATTTATCTTGCCGGTCACAAAACTATTGTGAACTATCTTTGCAGTGGGCACCAAATACAACGACCTTGCAATGGTTTTAGAACAGCTGTAAGCAATTTTATGGTGGTTTGAAATGCCGCGAAAACCGTGTTCACAGGCAGTGCATCATAAGATCTTATGATAGTATATTGGTGTTGGTGTGCTTATTAGGCCCTGGTAAATTGATGATCATTTTTCGGAGCGTTAATTTATCTCTTAGCTGAAGAAACTTATAATTATTAGCTAGACTTTTAGTGAGGATGTTTGCTATTTGAACTTGTTTTGGATTTGATGCAGTCACAAATAAAATGATTATCAATTTTAATGTGTTTAGT